GCTCTTGTTGCCCAGGCTGGAGTGCAATGGCGCGATCTCGGCTCACCACAACCTCCGCCTCCTGGGTTCAGGCAATTCTCCTGCCTCAGCCTCCTGAGTAGCTGGGACTACAGGCATGCGCAACCACGCCCAGCTAATTTTTTATAGTTTCAGTAGAGACGGGGTTTCACCGTGTTGACCAGGATGGTCTCGATCTCTTGACCTTGTGATCCACCCGCCTCGGCCTCCCAAAGTGCTGGGATTACAGGCTTGAGCCACCGCGCCCGGCTGTCTTTAAACTTTTTAAGCTTAGGGAAAATTTCTAGAGCAGTTGATCTTTTATTGATGTTGAATTTGTGAATGTACATTTTTTGTATTGTTTAAACATGAAAAATGTGTATCTGTATTGAAAATTTGTTTTATTTCCACATTTAGTAAACCTTTATTTGTACCTTTCTAAGGTGGAATCATGGAAGTATTAACCAAAGTCAAGACTGTAAAATCATTTCAAGGAAGTAGGTTGAGGCTAAATAGATGGAAATATAATTTAAATACAGAACTTATCTTTTAAATAAATGTAGGAATGTTATTAATGCCCTGGTCTATAAATCCACCTATTTTAGATAATTAAGACTTGGATTTACTATTGTACCTCAGTCATTCTTGTATATTGAAAATGAAACTACTAACTCTTCAGTCACCAGAGAAAAAATAATTTCTCTGATATCATCCCTCAGCACTAATGTTCTCATGAGAGCACTGCCTTATGTGCATGGTTAGTGTTTGGTGCTTTGGTCTTAGGGAAAAGCATGGATTGGGGAGCATTTCATAAATTCCTGGATCTTCCACTAATTTGATGGGTGATGCTGTATGAAGTTATTATGCTAGTTTGTGGTCATAGTTGCTTCCCATGTGACTGTGGGAAGCATGCTGAGAACAGTGAAAAACCATGTCTCACAAGAATATGGGAAGTAAATGCCACCAGTGGGGAAGGGAGAAGAAGGAAAAGTAGAGGAAAGGGAGAAAGAGAAAGAAAGAAAATGATGCTTACTAACTTGGAAAATAGTTGCAGGGAAATACCAGAATGTTTGTGAGAGGTGAGGATTCAGGCAATAATAGGTAGAGCTAAAGATCTTGCCTGAAGGTTTCTCATCTGGAGAATCCAGTCACCATTTGATTGTCTGGGAAGTAAGAGTTGGACCGTTCAGGAAATCACTTCACAGAGCCTGCTCAGTAACAGGATTTCTGATTCAGTTCTAAAACCTTTTCCAGCAACTGGGAGGGGAATCTCTATCCTCGTAAAAATTTTTATGTTTTTGAGTATTTTCATTCATTATTCATGAAAGATTCGACCAGAGAGCCCTGGCTAGAGTGATTTATTTGTTCGAAAACATTTAATACATATTTTGAGCAAGTGTTTCTTATGGAGGCTTATAGAATGAATACAACAAACCAGAAAAATTAAAGGGGAAATTAAGATCTCTTGGGGGCTAAGTTCCTGTTACAAAATAACATGAGCTAAAGCAGACTCAGCCCTATGAAAGATAAGTGACCAAGAGGGAAAGGGAAAATGCAGATCTCAACATGACATAGCAAAAGCTCACAGAGCTTGGGATTTAACTTTGTTACTCATTAATTTGGTGACCTTGTTTGTGCCTCAGTTTCTTTTTCTTTAAATGGTTGTCAAAATTTATGCCTTGCCTGGACAATGTGGTTCACGCCTGTAATCCTAGCATTTTGGGAGGCCGAGGCGAGTGGATCATGAGGTAAAGAGATCAATACCATCCTGGCCAACATGGTGAAACCCCGTCTCTGCTAAAAATATAAAAATTAGCTGGACATGGTGGCATGCTTGTAGTCCCAGCTACTCGGGAGGCTGAGGAAGGAGAATCACTTTTGAAACTAGGAGGCGGAGGTTGCAGTGAGCCGAGATCATGTCACTGTACTCCAGCCTGGTGATAGAGTGAGACTCCATCTCAAAAAGAAAAAAAAATTATGCCTCATGCAAGTACTATTGAAATGAAAAATGAGATAATGTGTTTATGTTAAGCAGCGTAGGAAGGTAAGGATTTGTTTCAGTGTTGATGGCTATTTTACTAAAGCCGTGTCTTTATAATTTGTTCACTTTGCCTAATTTCTTATAGAAAATCCTGATAAGCTGCTCCCAAAAGAATGTAGGAGGATAACATTTCTACTAGATCTAGATTTTTGTTATCCTCTCTGGCCTCAAATATAGGCTCTTGGTGAGTTTTGTAGCTTTTCCCTTTTTCAAGCAGGACAGTCCCCTGGGGTTTCCATCAGCAGAAGTTTAGATAGCATTTATTAACTTGAGTATATAGAAACCAGAGGAGTTAAGTGTTTTGAAGTGAATTAAGATTCTCCTAAGACAAGATAATCAGCAGAGGTAGTAAAAGGCCATGCTTTTCTTATAGTGTTTATAATGTGTTTTTATAAATGTGAAATGTATAATATCTAAAATATAGTACAGTATTTCTTTGATTCTTTTTTTTTTTTTTTTTTTTGAGACAGAGTTTCACTCTTGATACCCAGGCTGGAGTGCAATGGCGCGATCTCGGCTCCCCGCAACCTCCGCCTCCTAGGTTCAGGCAATTCTCCTGCCTCAGCCTCCTGAGTAGCTGGGATTACAGGCATACGCCACCATGCCCAGCTAATTTTTTTTGTATTTTTAGTAGAGACGGGGTTTCACCATGTTGACCAGGATGGTCTCGATCTCTTGACCTCGTGATCCACCCGCCTCGGCCTCCCAAAGTGCTGGGATTACAGGCTTGAGCCACCGCGCCCGGCCTTCTTTGATTCTTTCGTCCAGCATTTACATAAATCTCATTGGCTTCCTTGGCCTTGAGGCTGCTCTTCTTTTTATTAATAACAGTTTTATTGAGCTATAATTCACATACCATAAAGTTTACCCTTTGAAAGGGTACAATTGGGGCTTAGCACAGTGGCTCATGTCTGTAATCTCAGCACTTTAGGAGGCTGAGGCAGGAGGATCACTTGAGGCCAGGAGCTTGAGACCAGACTAAGCTATACAGCAAGACTCTGTCTCTACAGAATTTTTTTTTTTAATTTGCTGTGTGTGGTGATGGTGCATACCTATAGTCCTAGCTAATTGCTTGAGCCCAGGAATATGAAGCTGCAATGAGCTATGATCACACCACTGCACTGCAGCCTGAGTGACAGAGTGAGACTTTGTCTCTTAAAAAAAAAAAAAAATTCAGGGCCAGGTGCGGTGGCTCACACCTGTAATTCCAGCACTTTGGGAGGCCAAGGCAGGTGGATCACAAGGTCAGGAGTTTGAGGGCAGCCTGACCAATGTGGTGAAACACTGTCTCTACTAAAAATACAAAAGTTAGCCGGGCATGATGGCGCATGCCTGTAAACCCAGCTACTCAGAAGGCTAAGGCAGGAGAATTGCTTGAACCCAGGAGTCGGAGGTTGCCATGAGCTGAGATCATGCCACTGCACTGCAGCCTGAACAACAGAGTGAGACTCCATCTCAAAAAAAAAAAAAAAATCTTTTTAAAGTGTATAATTAGGTGGTTTTAGTTATTTATAGAGCTGTGCACCATCACCATTATCTAATTAGAGAACATTTCACCCTCCCAAAAAGAAACCCTGTACCTATTAGCAGTCACATTTCTTCTAACCTTATAAGGACACCAGCCATATTGGATTAGACCCACCCTAATGACATCATTTTAATTAGATTACCTGTCTCTAAATAAGACCCTGTCTCTTAATATGTTCACATTCTGAGGTACTGGGGTTTGAACTTCAATATATGGTTAGGGAAAGGGGAACATAATTCAACCCATAAGAACCTTGTTGGAGTTTTCTTACCAACAGACATGACTCTTGGATCTTAATCAGTGCTGTTTGTGAGAGGTGTTCATAGTTATGCCACTTTTCTTGGGCGTTCCATACACTTAATAACATATTTACATACCAAAGATACATATGCCATTGGCCATGTGACTAAGCTGCCATGGGAAGATATTTGGAACCCTTAATTTTATTCTTTGGAAAAGTCCCAATCCACCTCTGTCATTACCCTCCTCTAATGACTAACCTGCATTCTATTCTTTGGAGTAAAATATGAAAGCTTTTATTTATTTATTTATTTTGGATCTTTTTAAATTCAACATGGAGCAAATATTTATTGATTAAGGCACTGGCAATACAATGAAGAACACACGTTTTCT